TTGTAAAGACGAGCCAACCAAACCAAACGAAGCACTACCCACCTTTTCTCGAAGAGCTTCTTCATTTTTTTGAACCCTCATAACTTGAATTTGGATTATACCAGATAAACAAAATTCGAAATTTTTACAACAATTATCTTCTATTATTGCATGCCTTAAGCGCAAAGCGCGTAGGTATGTTCTACTAGTGCTTACAAATCAAGATTCCAACGTTTTGTCGCATAAAATGGTATCTAAAAATCATATTGAACATAGAAATGATATAAAAAGCACATTGTCAGAAAGATAAATGATTGTTGAACTTATAAATTTTTTTTTAAATCGATTAATTGCTATTTTTACATAAAAAACTGGTTTTAGTGGCTTATGGTGTAGATTTATTAAGTCAAATATCAATTGTTTAACTCAATCAATTTTTTAATCTCTTCATATATAATGTGGGAAGTCATGGAATGTAAATGGCAGTTTAATTTTCTTTTGTTTAGTTATAATTAATTTTTTTCGGAGTTGAAATCCGGAAATTTTTGGTGTTTTAGCAGCGTTCTAATAATTTATTTTACTAAATAGACTGCCTCGCTCACTCACTTCAGTGCCAACTGCCGTCGTGAGTGGATACTGTATCGGTTATTTGCAGCGGCTCAAAAAGATCACTGTACCAATACAAAATATTCGAAAAACCAAATTTCATACATACTTGATTATTATAATAATTAGAGATTTTACTACAATATTTTAAACACACATAATAAATAATAGTAGTACGTACTAAAAGTAAGTAGGATGTATATATTTAAGTATATTTATACTGAAAGGGGTCACGGTCTACAGCTTGCTCCCTACTCAGATCCCTTATCTGAAAGGATCCAATCAAACTGAGATTAGTCTGTCACAGACGTTCTACCCCCTTTATCACACCACGTGGGGTTCGGGCAGTCAACGAGGGGGATGTGAACCCCGTGAAGGAGTATCACAAGAGAGTGTCTGAAGCCCCTTTCTCAAAAGAAAAGGTCAGACGGCGAAGATTATGGGTCACATGAAGTGGTCCCGGTCCAGTCGCCTTATACTTTTGGTGGACTGTATTTGTTAGGTGGTGGAAGATCCTTTAAGAATGGAACAGCATTTATCTTGAAAATTTCTCCATAAGAGTGCAATTGATTACTTTCCCTATTCCTATCACTTCCCTATACGTTTTCTTTCTTGATTACAAATATTACTGGTAGCTGGTCCCGAACGAATTACACTACTACGTTGTCATCTGCTGAGGTGTACTACACCCAACAGGTCTCGGGCCTCGGGGCATCTTCCCCATAACCCGGATTTTCCTCACGGTCCATTTCTATGGGCCGGTCATTGGGAGCCGAGAACGAATTACATGAAAACGAGTTTAATAAGGTACTTAAAGCTATACTCGAAAGAGAGCCGCGCCCCGTGCGCGGTTTCGCAATACAATTACATCGATTTTGTACCATTGCACTCTTACAGTTTTCTATATATATTTATTTGTACAAAACATACAGTCATACAAATTATTTATAATGATAGCACAATAAAAACTTAATATTATAACATTCATTATATTTTAATCACATAAAAAACCCTTTATTTATTTAAAAAATATGCCTATTTTACAATATATGTACTGAGTTAGAATTCTTAAATATTTGACATATAAGGCTGAAACAATGTTCTTTATTTTTGAAAATACAAACAACCTAACTAATACAATAGTTTAATTCACATTTTCACCTTTAAAACACTTTTAAATTTCTTTCACAAAGCTATCATTATCTCACTGTATCTAGTACAAATCTAAATAATTTTAACACAGAATTAACCATTTTTGTTTACACACTGTGTAACAGTCATCCTGAAACACTTATGACTCAATTTTACATAAATTACTGAAATTTTGCAAATAATTAGACATTAATTTTTTGCCTCCTATTTTGCAAGTTTAGCGCGCGGTTCATAGTTCGCACTAAATGAGCAACCAATTTCTACACGTCTCTAATCACTTCGGTAGGAGGCCAGTGAATTCCTTGGTCCGATAAAACCTATCTCTGTTCATTATAAAACACCAAGGTTCACATACATTATCTTTATCAGTCATAATGTTTCTTATCTATTATTATCTTACAAAACAAAATTATTTTTAAGTATTACACATTAAATAAACATTTATTTAATACAAAATTTACATTTGCATTTCACAAGTGATTACATAGGCTGCACTAAAAGTATCGGGAATGGAATATTTCCACTGTTCCTGTCATATTAAAATCTTTTTAATTGAAAATACCTTGGTTTTAAAAATCGAATACCATTTATTTATTTTAAAAAAGATTCTCGGTCTTGTCACAAGGTTTTGTCAAACTTGTTTAGTCGTTGAGAAAATGGAATTGACTCGAGAAAATTCAAGAGCGATGATTTATTATGACTTCCGAAGTGGCTTAACACAAAAACAATGTATTGACCGGATGATTTCTGCATTTGGTGATGAAGCCCCATCCAAAACCACAATTTATCACTGGTTTGCTGAATTTCAACGTGGACGTGTTAAGCTCAGTGATGATCTCCGTCAAGGTCGTCCAAAAACTGCAGTCACCCAAGAAAAAGTTTATGCTGTGCGTAAGCTGATTGAGGAAGATCGATATATGACAGTCACGAGTTTGGGTGTTCGAAAATGAGTTAAAGCCAACAAAAATTGTTCATTCACGGAGTGTTGCAAAAAAAAAATGGTGACCACGTTTGTCTCCAAAACCGGCCATGTTACGACTATTCCTCTTGAGGGACAAAGAACGGTTAATGCAGAATGGTATGCTAGCATTTTTTTGCCACAGGTCGTTTCTGAACTCCGTAAAGAGAACTGCAACCGCCGCATCATCCTCCATCACGACAATGCAACTCGCATTTCAAAAATTGTTCGTTCACGGAGTGTTGCAAAAAAAATGGTGGCCACGTTTGTCTTCAAAATCGGCCATGTTACGACTATTCATCTTGAGGGACAAAGAACTGTAAATGCAGAATGGTATGCTAGCATTTGTTTGCCACAGGTCGTTTCTGAACTCCGTAAAGAAAACTGCAACCTCCTCCTGCCGCATCATCCTCCATCACGACAATGCGAGTTCTCACACCGCACACAGAACAAAAGAGTTTTTAGAGCAAGAAAACATAGAATTATTAGACCATCCGCCGTACAGCCCCGACCTAAGCCCTAATGATTTCTGTACTTTCCCTAAAATAACGAATAAATTGCGTGGACAGAGATTTTCATCACCTGAAGAAGCTGTGGACGCCTACAAAACGGCTATTTTGGAGACCCCAACTTCCGAATGGAATGGTTGCTTCAATGATTGGTTCCATCGTATGGAAAAATGTGTCGAATTTCGCGGAGAATACTTCGAAAAGCAATAAATACATTTGTAAATAGTAATGTTGTGTCACTTCCTTGATTCCCGAAATTTTCAGTGCCGCCCTTGTACTATGTACATGACTCTAAATTAATCTCAAAAAGACAATTTTAAGAAAGTGATCGTGCCGACCTTTGAATATTAATTCGAAATTACCTTTTAATTTTTTTTTATTTTACTAAGCGCCTACTAAATAGAATACCTATCCCTTGAGGATTAATCTTTAGGAAGCTGTTTGTAATTGGGAAACTAATAAATTGAAATATTGTTTTTTGGACGCGTCGCCAACATATAATTTAATACGTCTTGGATTTTGACTTGAATGTTATCATCATATGAGCGTTATGAGTCGTACACTTTTGGATTTTCCAAATTTTTTTTTAATTGAAGTTGGACATAAAATTATCGGAAAATTGGAAGTATAGTAATAAGGTTATTAGTGAAAACTTTGTGTATTTAAACTACTTAATAAAACCGGCAAAGTGCGAGTCGGACTCGCGCACCGAGGGTTCCTAACAAATCTGTAGGTATATAAGTTTAAAATTATTAAAAATATTTTTATTATATAATGTTACTAAAAATGTATACTTTTCGCAATTTTTCCTTTATCTGTGCTATAAAACGTTGCTTCGTACTAAATTTCAAGATTCTGAGTTCACGGGAAGTACCCTGTAGGTTTTGATTCCCTTGCAAATGTCGAAAATTTGAAGCATAAACGGCTGTATCTTTTGATTGCGTTGGCTTAGAAGGGATCGTAGACTTGAATATTTGATATGAATTTCAGCTGGATACCTCCACGCGTTCCTGAGAAAAAGGGTCTTGACAGATAGACAGACAGACAGACAGACAAACGGACAACAAAGTGATCCTATAAGGGTTCCGTGTTTTCCTTTTGAGGTACGGAACCCTAAAAATTATGTATAATCATGTTATACATAATTTTTTTAATGCGCCTAGGGCATGCACAATTAGATTTACCAATAGTTTATTTTTTCTTGAATAGAAATAAAGTCAGGAACACTGAATAAATTTTTCACCTTACGCCCATATGACGGTAGCGAAAAGGCCAAGCCACATATTTTGACTAAGTGTAGAGTTTGTGAAGTTAGGGTGTGTAGAATTAGAAGCTTGGTTCTACATGAGATCTGATAACTTTTTGACAGTGCGAGCCATATGGTCTCGTCTTAGCAACATTTTACATGAAAAGGCTCTTGGTGGGATATTTTATTTGCGTTAACCATTCATGCGCCCTTCAGGATTAAATTATTTTAGAATGAGCCCTTAGGCTGGATAAGGTTGCCGCTTCCTGTCCTATGGTGTTTCAAATTTTTTAATACTTTTGTTGCTTGGATATCATTGGCGTTCTGTTTGTTACTGTAATTTTAAAGTTTTAATGATCTCATATATTTGATGTAAGTGTTCCGATATATTTGAGCAAGATTGATGTTATCAATAACTTGGCTACTATGAATGTTTGAATATTAATGATCACTTTGACTGTTTTAGAATATTTGAACACCTTGACTGCCGCTGTTTATCTGACGATGATTGTACAGTATACAATGCTCATTGAGTGATTATGCATTGCAGGCTGCAAGGAGCACCCGCCGTGGCCTCGTGGTATATGCTCCAAGTGCCAGCCGGGAGCGGTGACCCTGAACCGGCAGCCCTACCGCCACGTGGACAACGTGCTGTTCCAGAACGCGGCGCTAGTGGAGCGGCTGCTGGCCTATTGGCGCGCCACTGGACACCAGCGCTTGGGCTTTCTATATGGAAATTACGAACAACACCCCGACGTGCCTTTGGGTATGTATTTTTTGATGTGATAACTTCTTTATAATTGTTTTGATTTGAAATTCGATAAAACGAAAAAGCGACACTGCATACTGTATTCTATCTCTTTTTCGCAGGCTAAATCCTATAGGTATATGTTTGTCTCTTTTTAGTGTTTATTATACATTTATTTATATTTAATCACATAATCCCTACAATTAATTATCCTACTCTTGATACTGTGCATTCGTCTCGTTCCCTCGAAACTTAGTTTTCTGAAAGTTTCATTTGTACCGCGTACTATCCCTCAGGTACATTTATTTATGAAAAAAAAAAACACAAACACTCATGCCTGTCACCCAGAGGGGTAGGCAAAGACTACGGACTTCATTTGGCGCGATCCTGACACACCTCCCACGCCTCCTTTACATCCATATATCTACGCATACACGCTCGTCGGTTAAGGGTACTCCTAATCTGGCCCATTTTCAATGTATCGCCGATTTGGTCGATAAATCTTCGTCTAGGGCGTCCCTTCCCGACTCTGCCGTTCGCTTCTGAAACATAAATTTGCTTTGTCACTCTTTCCTCGTTCATTCTTTCTACATAACCAAACCACCGAAGCATTCCTTTTTTAATCCTGGTTACAACGTCATTTTGCATACCACATTTTATATATGGTGGATTGAAAAGTACTCGGCCTAACCAAGAAAATAAACAAATACTAAATCAGTTATATTTTTATTTTTCTACATAATCACCATCAAGTTCAATACACTTTTGCCACCTCCCCTTCCAAGCATTTAGACCGTTGAAAAAAAATGATTCTTCCTTAGAGTCAAAATATGCGTCTACAGCTGCTTTGACCTCGTCGTTTGTCGAAAATCTTTGACCTCCCAAGTGCTTTTTTAGGTTAGGGAACAGAAAGAAGTCTGATGGTGCCAGATCAGGTGAATACGGCGGATGCGGTAACAGTTCAAAGCCACAGTTGTGAATTTCAGCCATTGACTGTACTGACGTGTGAACACGGGCGTTATCTTGATGAAACAGGACTTTTCTTCTGAGCATTCCTCGACGTTTTTCTTTTATTTCCTCTCGTAAACGACGTAGTAAGGTGCAGTAGTAATCAGAGTTTATATTCTGACCCCTTTCAAGATAATCAATCATAATCACACCTTTGGAGTCCCAGAATACTGAAGCCATCACCTTATTTGCCGACAAAATCGACTTAGCCTTTTTAGGGGGTGGTGAACCAGGTCTTCTCCACTGTTTTGATTCTTGTTTTGTTTCCGGTGTACAGTAATGAACCCATGTTTCGTCCATAGTAACAAAACGATTCAAAAAATCATCTGCATCGGCTTCAAATAACTCCAAACAGTCGCGTGAAATAGTCAATCGCGTCCTTTTTTGTTCAACTGAAAGCAGTCGCGGAACCCACCTCGCAGACACCTTGTGGAAACCCAACTCGTTGACAATGATGTTTTGAGTTCGTTCATAAGAGATGCTTATAATTTCGGCTATCTCTCTAATTTTTAATCTGCGGTCTCCCATTATTAAATCAAGTACTTTTTTAATATTTTCGTCAGTAGTTGACGTCGAAGGCCTTCCAGAGCGGGGTTCATCTTTCACACTCTCTCTACCACGCTTAAATTCTGCTATCCATTTTTTGACGGATGAATATGACAGAGCACAATCGCCTAATGTACTGACCATGTCATCATGGATGGCTTTTGATGATAGCCCCTTCTTATGGAGGTACTTAATGACGGCACGCTGCTCGATTTGCTCCATTCGCGTAAATTATGTCCGATTACTTTGTTAATAAATTTATAAAATCACAACTAATTATCGCACACGTTTCGAACTTCACACAATGAACTAGTCTCAACTGAAGTAAATAATGTGGGTAGATTTGATTTTTTGAATTGAATGGATCTGTGTTAGGCCGAGTACTTTTCAATCCACCCTCGTATTTATGAATTTTGTAAATATAAATATACAAACATTGTGGTCAAGAATAATAGCTAGTTTCTCCTGGTTTGTTTTGGCCATTGTATGTCTTTCGGTAATGCAATTAACTAAAAATAACTAAGTACCTTATTAAAAAAAATCACAGGGTCACATTCAGGTGTAACAAAATTTTATAAAATTTTTGCAAGTGAATCTATTGATGTTCCCCTGGTGAATTATGAGCAGCTTTGGAAATTCATCTCAATATTAATTTAGTGTAAAGGTTTAGATGTGGCAATGTGGCCGTTATTTCGATATTACAAACACACTTTAATAGCGGGGCCGCCGGGGACTGGGGGCCGTTTATTAATGTCATCGCTCATGGAGGGGTATTTGCCATGGTTGCCACGCTTGGCGAGCGGGTTGGCAAATGCAGTTTTTTTATTGTAATTTTCGCTATTATCAGGAAGATGCTGCAGCCCATCTCCTGCCTGTTTCCCTTTGTCGCCTTTTACGACACCCACGGGAAGATATGGGGTAGTGGATATTCTTGACCGCCACTACATGGCTCTTAATTACACTACTAGTTTTTATTACACATATGGTAATACCGACTTGTATACCGTGACGGCAAACGGCATGACGCTCTCTTATGCCGTCATGCGCCCTCTAAGCCTCACGACATCCTTATTCGTCCGTGTACTATTATAACTATATACTTCTACGAGTATTATACTAATATACTTCGTTGTTTCTCTGTGTGAGTTGTATACAGCGTGTGCCTTTTTATTCAATTATAAAATACTTGACGGGTTCACCGCTTGTATACACACTATTACACAGTATTTCTTTTTAATCTTATTTTCATATATTTTACTTTTATTTTTTATACATTATAAATTCTACTATCAACTTTGGTCGATGTTTCACATCTGCCAGACGTCCCATGACGGCCAACTTTTTCTATTAGTACATATTTTCACCATTAATTACTGAAGAAGTTGTCGGTTGCATATCCGGCAAGGTGAATAAGAAGAAGCATTTTTTTTAGTATTAGCCAGTATAAAAAAGCAGCCATGTGCGAGTCTGACTTGCCCATGAAGGGTTCCGTAGCAGCAAGTAACATCATTTACGATTTATGACTTATTAAAAAAAAATTACTTACTAGATCTCGTTCAAACCAATTTTCGGTGGAAGTTTACATGGTAATGTACATCATACATTTTTTTTTACTTTTATCGATCTCTTATTTTAGAAGTTACATGGGGGAGGGGGACACATTTTACCACTTTGGAAGTGTCTCTCGCGCAAACTATTCAGTTTAGAAAAAAATGATTTAAGAAACCTCAATATAATTTTTGAAGACCTATCCATAGATACTCCATAGATACTACCCCCACACGTATGGGTTTGATAAAAAATTTTATTTTTATTTTCAGCTCTAAGTATGGGGAACCCTCAAGATTTATTGGTTTTTTTTCTATTTTTGTGAGAAAATCTTCATGCGGTTCACAGAATACATCTACTTACCAAGTTTCAACAGCATCGTTCTTATAGTTTCGGAGAAAAATGGCTGTGACATACGGACGGACGGACAGACAGACATGACGAATCTATAAGGGTTCAATTTTTTGCCATTTGGCTATGGAACCCTAAAAATGGGTGTGTGTTTATGACAACGTGATAGAAATGAAAACTTACTCGTACGTAATAATAAAACATAATTATTGGAATGGATGCACTCCTTGTCAGACAGTGAATGTAGCTGATGGCGACTGGGAACTACGAGTAGATACACGATTTAGTGCGTCACCGAGCCGAGCGTGACGGTTCACTTTTGTTCACTGTTCAAAAACAACGCGCCTATAGAAGTTTTCACTTCAATAATAATTTATTTAAAATTGGTATGCAAATAGTATATTGTCTGTAATGTGTTGTAGGTATACGCGCCCGCGTGACGGCCGTCTACGAGCCGCCGCAGGAGAGTGGGCGCGACTTCATCTCGCTGCGCGAGGAGCCGCACGCCGAGCTGCTGCAGGAGCTGGCGCGGCGCCTGGGGCTGCGGCGCGTGGGCTGGATGTTCACCGACCTGCTGCCCGACGACCTGGCCGCCGGCACCGTGCAGCACGTGCGGTCAGTGCGCCTGCAGAAACCTGCTCTCCCGCTCTCCTATTGAAAGCCTTTTTTTTAAAAATAGTTACCCTCATAGGATTTTCTCTTGTATCATGTAGTCAGTTCACAAAAATAAATTGTGAACAAGGATAAACATTCACACCCAGAACTATTATTTTTTATTCCATACAAATGCTTGTTCCATACGGAATTTCAAACCGCGGGCACCAATGCTAGAAAAATACTCCTAAGCCACTGCGCCATGGAGCCGTCGACTTCTTTCTCTCGACAGCCTATAAAGTTCACTACATGACAGTCCCGTGTGTCATTATCATTACAACCCTGCATAAGTCCATCACGAACATATGTCTCCCCCAAGGAATGCCACAATAAACGGTCTTGAGCCACCTGCATCCATCGACTTCTTGCATGTCTCACCAAGTCGTCACTCCCATCTAGTGGGGGGTCGCCCTATACTTCGCCTACCGGTACGAGGCTGCCACTCGAGGACCTTTCTTCCCCATCACTTGTCGGTTCTTCGAGCCATATGGCCGACCCATTGCCACTTCAGTTTACTAATCCGATGGGTTATGTCGGTTACTCTAGTTCTACTGCGGATATCCTCATTTTTAGGGTTCCGTACCTAAACGGTAATCAACGGGACTCTATTTCTAAGCATCCGCTGTCCGTCCGTCGGTCTGTCTGTCAGCGGATTCTCATGATCCGTAATAGGTACACAGTTGAAATTTATACAGAATGTGTATTTTGGTTACCGCTATAATAACAAATAATGAAAATTAATATAAATCAAAAAATTAAAGGGGCTCCTGTACTAGAAACATGTATTACGATGGTACGGAACCCTTCATGCGCGAGGCCGACTCGTACTTGGCCGATTATTAATGCTATCACGCAGAGACACTTCGAGCATAGCTCTATCCATAGCTCGCTGAGCGACTTTGAGCTTACTCATATGGTCAGCAGTGAAGGACCATGTCACAGATCCATATGTCATCACTGGCAACACGCACGGATTGTACAATCTTGTTTTAAATTTTTGAGGTATGCCTGACGAGAAGGTCTGTCGTAATATCCTGAAGCTGTCCAGCCGAGTTACATCCGTCGATTGGCCTCTCGGTCGAAGTTCGACTTATCTAGTCGGACAATTTTTTTTTATTTAAAAAATCACCCCCACACTAGGATTTTCTCCTTTGTCGTAGAGGCAGTTTACAAACATAAATTGCACAAGGACAAACATCCAGACCCGGAACAATTATTTGTAGGCCATACAAATACTTGTTCCGTGCGGGATTCGAACCCGCGGCCCCCAACGCAACAACTGATTGCTAAGCCACTGCGCCACGAAGCCGTCAGGTAAACATTATCGTCAACGACTTCGAGCTTAGTGCTCCCAACAACTACCGGCATACGTTTGACATGGACGTTACACATGACTTTTGTTTTGTCTTTTTCTTGATCTTAAGACCTATCCTTTGGGAAACACTATTGATTTCACTGAGCGTAGTGCTTAGGTCTTCCAGCGATTCTGCCATAAGGACTATATCGTCGGCAAATGAAAGGTGAGTGATGTACTCGCCATTAACGTTAATACCGTATCCTTTCCAGTCCAGTAGCTTGACAACGTCTTCCAATGCAGCGGTGAAGAGTTTCGAGAATATAACGTCACCCTGTCTCACAACTTTCTGCAGTTGGATGGGTTTGGTATTCTGGTTCTGTACTCGGATAGTTATCGTAGCTTTATTGTACAAACACTTCAGCACTTCCATGTATGGTTTGTCAATTTGGCACCGCTGGGTGAACTATAGCACCAATAGAATAAAATAGAATCAAAGGCTTTCTCATAGTCCATATACGCAAGGCAACGTGGCAGATTGTGCTCTTCGGTCTTCTGTATAATTTGCCGAAGTGTATGTATGTGGCTATGATGTTAAAGCCTTTTCGGAAACCGCCCTTTTCGGGAGGCTGGAAGTCGTCGAGTCTGCTTGCGAGACGAATCGCAATGACACTCGAAAACAGCACGTAGACGCGGATCAGAAAGGAAATCAGCCTTTCTTGTAGAACAACACCGCCGCATTTCTGCTGTCTCCGGAGTAATGCCACCATGGAGGACGGAATTAAAGAGCTTCTGAAGGACTTCAAGTACTGGTTTTCCACCCGCATTTAGAAGCTCCGCTGTAATTCCATCTTCGCCCGGGGCCTTGCCATTTTTAAGATGATGGTGAGCCATTCTAATCTCGCTCAGACTGACGTCCGGGATATCAGACTTGCTCTTGGATCGTTGCACACACTTGCGCCTCTCCCGTTGTAGGGAGGAAATTAAACTAAATTCATATAAAGATTAACTTAAGCATTTATGCGTAGATGTATGGATGTAAAAGAGGCGAGAGGAGTGTGTCAGGATCGTGACAAATGGAAGTCCGTAGTCTCTTCTTATCGCTCTGTGTGACTGACGTGAGTGTTTATGTATGTATGTATGTATAAACTAAAAATGCTACATACTTTTTAAGGAAAAATAAATAAGTAAAAATGTTTTAATAACAGAAAAATATAATCAGGTAATTCAATAGGAAAGCCTGTGTCGAGAAAACCTGAGACCGAAGTTCATTATGCGTTATTATACCTTATCAGGCAGATAGTATAATAAACATGTTGTGTTGTCGCATTTTTTTTAAATATAGAAAAAATCTGTTTTCATACAATCTGAATATAAAACAATAACAACAATATTAATTAATTTAATAGATACCTTTAATTAGCAACACCTAGTTTTCAACAATTCTGTTTCTTCAAATGATATTACAGATTTCCGACGTTGCGGCTGGGTTACAGCACCCGTGGTCACGGGGGGGGGGGGGGGGGGGTCAAAATGGGATGACCAAATTCGTAAAATTTGTTTCATTTAACAATTAACAACCTTATATTTTTTACCTTTTGATCAAATCGCCAAAACGTTGCGTATAAATGGAGAAGCTAATTTGTATACCAGATAGATTTAACAATAATTTGTGGTCATGGGAAGATGTACTGTTAAACTGTGTTAATCACAAAAGTTGACAAACACTAAGTACTTCCGAATCTTTTTATATATTTGCAGCGTGTATAGTTTTCTTAGTGTTCCTTAACAAACTATACGCTGTTCTTTCTCGATTTAGATAAAATATAATCCTATAAGGAATTAACAAAGGACGTTATATACATATTTTAGTGATACCTTATTTGCAATATTATGTAGCTTTCTCAATATATCGGTAATTCTTCTGATTTGGCTTAAAAGAATTTTGATCTTTGAACTTCCCAGATTTGGAACAAGTAAACCAAAATATTTTCATACAAACACATGTATACATCGTCTGTTTTGAGTTCAATGTTACTAGATTGTTCTGTAGCCACTGGGAAATTTGTGATCTTTCCATTAAAAATTGAAAAATTACCGCGGCGTCATCGGCATAGCATCAAATATCGGGCTTTTCAAGTATTATCTCGTGAATGTTATTAATATATAGGATTAATAATGTAGGCCCCAGGATGTTACCTGATGGGACTACAAAACTACTAGTAGATTGAACAAACTTAATACACTGCTTTTGATCTGTCAAATAAATTTTAAACCAGGGCTAGCCTATGTATAGTTGTGTGCAAATCCTTTTCTATTATAATTTAGTTCATACTGCTAGGCTTGTCAGTTGTAGGTTTCATTAATTGTCCATGCCATCTAATCATAAATCAGTAAGTGTAGAATGTCAATGGGGGACATGTAGCTTTTGATGTAGGCATAGGTTCAAAATGTTATTATGTCCTTAACATGAGCACATTTAGATTTCTTATATGCATAAATGGCTACGCTGGAGCGTACGTATTATAGTTGTAGCGCAAATAGGTCGGCTCGACTGATGAAGGATAACGCTCGTACAAAATACCAGCGTAAGATAGTAGTAACATAATGTTGCTGTGGTCCATATGACTAGCGACGAGAATCTGAGACGACTTTTACTGCTAACGGGACATTATATCGTAGTCTTCAGGGTGGCAACAAATCTATATTTTTATTATTTATCAAGGATGCATGTATTTGTTTTAGTTGCCGAAACCTTTCAACTCGAGTTACAAAACCGTTTTCAGTGCTTAGAAGATTGCAATGCAGTGGACGATATGAATGACAAGCTTGTGGAAACTGTCCATGCGGTCGGAGCTAAGTTTAGCAAGACCCGCCGCAGAAGAACACAAAAACTCTCCGATCACACTCTTAATCTTATGGCTGTTAAACGGGAAATGAAGCTGCAGTCTTCAGTAGATTTGACAGCATACAGTCAACTGAACAGACAGATCTCCAAATGCATGCGGCGGGACTTACGCAACTTTTATACTGCTCGTATTGAAGAAGCGATCGAGCGGAACCAAGGCTCCAAAGTCTTCGCTAGAGATCTGTCTGCCAGAAAGAGCCAACTGTCGAATCTGAAGACCGAGTGTGGCAGCGTCGTTTCCAGGACACCTGAGATTTTGAGTAAAATGAGGAAGTTCTATGGGCAGCTGTATACATCATCCTTGGAGCCACACGCAAGTGTGAGTAACGATCCAAGAGCAAGTCTTATCCTACACTATTCCGATGATATTCCGGACGTCAGTTTGAGCGAGATTAGAATGGCCAGCACCTTAGAAACGGCACGGCCCCAGGCGAGGATGTAATTACAGCGGAGCTTCTGATAGCAGAGGGAAAACCGGTACTTGAAGTCCTTCAGAAGCTCTTTAATTCCGTCTTCCATGGTGGCATTACACCGGAGGCGTGGAGCAAAAGTGCGATGGTCTTGTTCTACAAGAAAGGTGACAACGCTCTCTTGAAGAACTACAGACCGATTTCCCTTCTGAGTCGCGTCTACGTGCTGTTTTCGAGAGTCATTACGAATCGTCTCGCGCGCAGACTTGACGACTTCCAGCCTCCCGAACAAGCCGGTTTCCGAAAAGGTTTTAGCACCATAAACCACATACATAGCCTTCGGCAAATTGTACAGAAGTCCGAGAAGTACAATTTGCTACTATGTCTGACGTATGTGGACTATGAGAAAGCCTTTAATTCCGTCGAAATTTGGGTGGTGCTACAGTCTCTTCAGCGGTGCCAAGTTGACTGTCGATATATCGAAGTGCTGAAGTATTTGTACAGTAGGACTGCGATGGCTCTCCGAGTACAGAACCAGAGTACGAAACCTCTCCAATTTCAGAGAGGTGTAAGACAGGGTGACGTTATATCCCCGAAACTCTTCACCGCTGCATTGGAAAACATTTCCAAGCTTCTGGACTGGAAAGAATACGGTATGAACATCAACGGCGGCACTCACCTTCAATTTGCCGACGATGTAGTCCTTATGGCAGAATCGCTGGACGACCTAAGCACTATGCTCAATGACCTCAGTAGTGCCTCCCAACGGATAGGTCTTAAGATGAACATGGACAAAACAATAATCATGTTTAACGTCCATGTCACACCTATGCCGGTAGTTGGTGGGAGCACTGAGCTCGAAGTTGTTGACGAGTATGTTTACCTGGGACAAATAGTCCGACTAGGTAAGTCCAACTTCGACCGAGAGGTCAATCGACAGATTCAACTCGGCTGGGTAGCGTTCGGGAGATTACGACACATCTTCGCGTCAGGTATACCTCAAAACTTGTAAATGAGACTGCATAACCAGTGCGTGTTGCCAGTATGACCTATAAAACTGAGACGTGGTCCTTCACTGCTGGCCGGATGAGGAAGTTCAAGGTTGCTCAGCGAGCTATGGAGATGGCTATACTCGTAGTTTCTCTTTTGAAACAGAAACAGAAATTTTTTTATTCAATATAGATTATAAATAATACTTATTGAAAGTCACTCTTTTGTATGATTACCACTGGTTCGAAAAAAACCTCTGTCCTGGGAAGAACCAGCAAGAAACCCAGCGGGACTTTTTTTTTAAATAACAGCTTACAATCATGTATGTTACACAAATTAACAACACAACAAATTAGAAATAGCTTGGTAGCGATCACCTCATTTCCTGGGGTTATTATCATCTATAAATTCATTAATATTATAATAACCCTTTTTATACAAACTTAGTTTAAGAAAGTTTTTGAACTTTGAGCAGGTCACATTTTGTATATTTTCTGGAGTTTTGTTGTAAAAGTGTATACATCGCCCCAAGAATGAATTACTGACTCGATGGAGTCGAGTAACTGGTACTACTAGCTTGTGTCTGTTCCTAGTATTTACAGAATGAATATCACTTATTTTTGTAAAACTACTTTTATTTTTGTGTACGTACATTACATTTTCATAAATATATTGAGAGGCCAAAGTTAATATATTATTTTCCTTAAATTTTTGTCGCAGCGACTTTTTAGGCTTTAAATCATAAATTGCTCTTATGGCCCTCTTCTGTAAAACAACTATAATTTCAGTGTCAGCTGCGTGTCACCATAGCAAAATACCTTACGACATTATGCTATGGAAATAGCTAAAGTAAACTAGTCTAGCTGTTTCAACACTAGTTAGACTTCTAATCTTTTTTACGGCATATGCTGCAGAACTAAGTCTGCTAGCTAGTTTTGATATATGGGGGCTCCATTGAAGCTTCGCGTCTAGTGTGATTCCAAGAAAAATGGTGGTATCTACAAGACTCAGTTTCTCCCCATTTAAAATTACATTAGTATTTAATTGTTTGACATTTGGAGTCATAAATTTCATACATTTCATTTTAGTGCCATTTAAATGCAAATTATTAACATTGAACCAATTTACTAATTTAGATATAGCATTATTTACTTCGTCATATTTTAGCAATTGTCGACTTAATTTGAAAATTAAAGAAGTGTCATCTGCAAATAATACTATATCATAGTTATATCCTACTATGTAAGGTAGGTCATTAATGTATACAAGAAACAGAAAAGGGCCGAGAATTGAGCCTTGAGGCACGCCCATTTGTATCATCGACCCGGAAGAACTCATACTGTTAATGACAACTTTTTGCGTTCTCTTACTTAAATATGAAATAATTAATTTAAGAGCAGCATCACTTCTTACACCGTAGTGTTGAAGTTTCCTGATTAATGTTTCACGGTGAACACAATCGAAGGCTTTGGATAGGTCACAAAATATACCCAAAGCATCCTGTGAATTCTCCCATGCATTAAATATATATTTAATCAGCTCAACACCGGCATCAGTTGTCGAGCGACCCCTTGTGAAACCAAATTGAATTTTATGAAGTAAATTATTTATATTAAAGAAATTTAACATTTGATCAAGAATAATTTTTTCAAAAATCTTACTAAGTGTTGGTAGTACAGAAATAGGTCTAAAATTGGCGGGGTCTAATGTACTACCAGATTTCAATAAAGGTATTACTTTACTATACTTCATTAAATCAGGAAACACACCAGATTCGATACTAGTATTAAAAATAATAGCTAAATGAGGCGCGATTGTATCTATTATAGACGCAATAACTTTAACGGAAATCCCCCACAGATCCGCAGTTTTCTTAACATCAATAGTTTTAAAATATTTTACAATATCTTTTGATGATACTTTATGAAATGCAAAATTCTTTGTACACGCATTTACATTTTGTTTAAGTAATGATTCGGCGACCGCAGGAGAAGAATTCAGTGACTTAGTGGTTAATATCGGAATATCAGTAAAATATTTCTCAAAAACCATTGCAACGTCCTGATCTGATTCGGTTAATTTGTTACTAAATGCGTTACTATGCGTGATAAACTTAGAAATCAAAGGATATCCGCAGTAGAACTAGATTAGTAAGCTGAAATGGCAATGGGGAATTAACAGTGGTAGAGCTACGCGGCAGCTTTTGCTGACGCACGGCTCGAACCGGGGTGGTACCACGACCTCACAGAAAACCAGCGTGAAGTAGAGGTTTACCTCTGCGTTTCGCTTGGTGAGTGCAGGTGGCCGGAGGCCCTTTTTACTGGAAATGAGGCATTCCATCTTAGTCCTCACGGGTGACAACGCATCTACATTTTGATTTGTAATAGATAGATGTAGATGTCTATGGGCCGCAGCAACCACTTACCATCAGGTGGAACTGTGTGCTCGTTTGTCACCCTTATCCTATAAAAAAAAATGGGCTGGCCATATAGCTCGAAGAACCGACAACCGATAGGGGAAAAAAGTTTCTCGAGTGGCGGCCTCGTACCGGCGGACGAAGTATAGGGTGTCCCCTCTTTAGATGGAGTGACGACCTGGTAAGACATGCAGGAAGTCAATTAATGCAGGTGGCTCAGGACCGTGCTTTGTGGCATTCCTTGGAGGAGGCCAATGTTCAGCAGTGGACTTGTGAAGGGCTGTATCGCATGTGTGGCGGCAACGAGCGCCACGCATGCATGAACAGAATGGAGCGGTTGTGTTGTGTCGCAGCGGCGTGGACACGCACTTCCTGTCGGCGCAGGAGTGCGTGACGGCGGGCCACTACCAGAACCTGCACCCCAGCGCCTGCCGCCACGCCTCCTCGGGCTACTTCGGCTCCAAGTTCGTCACCGTCTGCGTCACCGGTAACCCATCCCGCTCACTTGTCTTTCCTTTTTGTCCTTTGTCTAACCTTTTTGTGTACGCCCCGGCTAAGTGAACTTCTAACTTCGTTTACACAGAAGCTCTGTCATAAACGACTTAGAACTTTGACGATAACGATTTATTTTGTTACCACTTATAGATACATTAATGATATAAATCGTTTAATATTCTCTTACATAAACGTCAATTTTTTTTATTTAAACCTAAAATATATGCGAGCTAAGCCGCGGGCACAGCTAGTCACAAATGTATGTCATGTAAATAATCCCCGTAAGTTCCAAAAGAGGAATATAAATAAAGCTATAAGTTTTTATAGGTGAATGGTTAAGGTGCACACAGTCCATGTAATAGCAAGTTGTTGCCACCACTTACATATATTCTCGATTATGGATGAAAAAGCCTTTGTCACTGCTGAGTTGTAAGATTTTTTATTTTAAGTTAACGAAGGGACTTCGGTTACGTTATTCCTAAATTGTCATTGTACCATACAAATGAGCTCGCGCGTGCTCGTGCTCGCGCGTGTTCGTGCTCGCGCGTGCTCGTGCTCGCGCGTGCTCGTGCTCGCGCGCGTTCGTGCTCGCGCGTGCTCGTGCTCGCGCGTGCTCGTGCTCGCGCGTGTTCGTGCTCGCGCGTGCTCGTGCTCGCGCGTGTTCGTGCTCGCGCGTGCTCGTGCTCGCGCGTGTTCGTGCTCGCGCGTGCTCGTGCTCGCGCGTGCTCGTGCTCGCGCTTGCTCGTGCTCGTGCTCGCACGTGCTAGCTGGTGGTGCCGGCAGGCGACAGCGCGCGGCGCGTGGCGCTGGAGGGCTACCAGGTGTCGGGGCAGTGCCAGGCGCTGGTGCGCGACGGCATCCTGCTGCCCACGCGCGACGCGCCCGAGCTCGGCTACATCCGCGACTGCAGCCCCAACCACTACGTGCCCGACGTCTACTACAAGGTCAGTGCTGCACGACATCTACTCTTCTCTGTGTCCTCTGCATTGTCCGCATTGTCTGCATTGTCTTTCACTTGCTATACAGTACAATTGAATACAATCATTTTTATTCATTATAGATTACGAGAATACTTATTACTATGGACACATGCAACCAACTTCAAACAAAGAAGGCTACATAAACACATCAACAGAATCTAGGGATATTTGATATTTCATCAAATATCGACATCTAAAAATCTATGAAAATTTTTCTGGTATAGTAAATGGAAGAATGATAGTTCATTTTAAGATCTTTAATAAAAAAAATAGTTTCGTAATTTTTTTGTTTTAAATAAAAATGTAAATTTTTTTAATCGCCGTAGAAAATTAATATGATAAAAAAACTTCATTTCTTCTTTTAAAACTATTAATTTTAATAAAAATTGAAAAAATCTTATAAAATCTAAATTATTAATAATCAGCGTTGCCACGTCTCACATTAATTACACATCAACATCGATTGTTCATACTTAAATTGTAAATGTCTTGTTACGTTATGAGGTCCCATGTTCATTGTGTGTGTTTATAAAATTGTTGTTCCGTCGTCAAATTTGGCGGGAAATCTCCCAAAGATTCTCGTTGTAACATGTAACGGGCATGCTCGATAGGATTTGAGTCGGACGACTGTGCAGGCCAATCTAAAACTTGAATTTTGTGATCTCGGAGAGCGATCGACACCAGCCGCGCCGTATGGGAAGGAGCATTATCGTGCATGAGTAGAAATCCCTGACCCATTTGGATTCTGTGCGGGACAATAACAGGCTCTACAACCTCCGCGTGATATTTTTGTGCAGTCATGCTGCCTTGGATCCAAACTGTGTTTCAAATCCAAAATGGGTTCATCCGCCATGACGAATTCCTGCCCACACCACGATTGTCCTGCCTTGGTGTGAGTGGACCTCCTGAGGGTGCCGTAGACGGCTAACTCTCCGAAGTTCTCTCTGGACTTCACCAAACGCGTGTTCTTCGTGAATCCGGATGAAACGCAAAATCGGGACTCATCGGTGAACAACACTAAATACCATTGTTCGTCACTCCATGGCAAATGCTCGCGAGCCCACTAAAGCCGCCGACCGCGATTGCTACGTCGCCTGGAACAGGTAGCGGTCCTCGAGCATGAACTTGGTCTACATGCAACCTACTTCGCACGCTTTGGTCGCTTACCAGCAGCTGGTGGTCCTCCTGGAGCCTTTGTAGTAGTTGCATCACTGTGATAGGGGTTGTCTTCTGGCGGTCATTTGGAGAAATCAACCCTGTATCTGCGTAGTAACACGATATATACCCGTGTGCCATTCAGTCACATCCCCAGTACAGCGATAACGTGACCACCACCTTGATATCACATTTTGGCTGGTGTGTAGGGTCTCATATTTTGTGACCTATCCAAAGCCTTCGATTGTGTTCACCATGAAACATTAATCAGGAAACTTCAACACTACGGTGTAAGAAGTGATGCTCTTAAATTAATTATTTCATATTTAAGTAAGAGAACGCAAAAAGTTGTCAATAACAGTATGGAGTAGAAACTGTAAAGTGGTAATTAATTTAGGATTTAGATATCCCTAGATTCTATTGATGTGTGTATGCGTTGTTACCTCTATGATAATAATATGGAATACCTCACATCTTGTAATTTCCAAAACCCCTTCAGTCCAAACACAGGGGTGTGCGCACTGCTGCTTGGGTGTAGAAATAGTTATGAGGGTAGTATCTACCCAGAGGGACACCTAGACAGAGAAGGAGACCAAACCCAGTAAGGATTTTACAGCATATGTTGCAAAACTAAGCTTGCTAGCTAGTTTAGATATATGAGCCACTGAAGCTTCGCGTCAGCTATAATTCCGAGAAAATCATTGGATTAAACAAGTCTAAGCTCCAGTTCATTTATAAGTACAAAAGTATTCTGGTGTTTAACATTGAGTGGTGTGAGTTTATAACATTTTGTTTTATTACCGTGCAAAGGCAAATTGTCACTTCGTCATATTTTAAAAATGTTTGCTTAAGTCTAAAAATAAACGAAATATTATCAGCAAATAATACTATATCATGGTTCTTTCATACTAGGTAAGGTAAATCATTAATAATAATATAAACTAAAAACAGAAATGAGCCATAAGTTGAGCCCTGAGGAACACCTACAAATATTACCCACCAGGAAAAACCACTGTTAATATTAAAAATTGTTTGCGTTCGGTTGCATAAATATGAGATAATAATTTTAAACGCTATATTCTTTACACCATAATGCTGTACATATCTGATTAATGTCTCAAAGTAAATACCGTCGAAAGCCTGGGAAAGATCACAAAATATTCGTAAACCGTTTTTTTTTTAATTTACCCCCATGCGTTGAGTATTAATTGTTTATTTTTATCAATTTATCATAGCTTAGATACGCCCGATACAATGCCCCCGAGTGCAAGTGAGATAGCTGATTATGACTTGATTTGTCAAGCCTTTTTCTCGATTTCATAATTTTTGTGTGTTTATGCTTTATTAGTGACCTTATAACTAATTTAAGGTCTTCAAAGGCTTCTAATTTAAAAAATTGAACTATTTTTCTCTCAACAGTTAAATTTAATCTTATTATTATTTATATATACGCCGTAATTTTAATATAGTGTATATAAAATATAGAATATTATAACATTTAAATTAATTTTATAAATTAAAACGAATTCAAAGGAGATTTTATGTCAATTAACATATTCAAATATTAAATATAAAAAGTTATACACTCTTGCAAAATCTAAAAACATTATTGTCAAAATTTTGACGTAATGTTCATATTTACAGATGTTTAAAAAAACGGATAAGACTGAATAATTATAATGATTTAACACATTTTACGAACATTTGAGCGTTCACTACACTTAAATGAAACTAGTTTTACGGATTGCATCGCGTATATTAACTTATTTTATATTCCCGACGTTTCGAGTACTATAATATTTAGAGAAACAGTAAAGAACTCTCATTAAACAAAAAAAAAAAAAAAACAATCATACTTTAATAATAAAAAAATAAAAAAACAATAGCGTTTCCACAAATGTAACAGAATCAACGCATATTCCTCGAACAATGACGACTTATTTTATTACGACTTAATTTAAAAAATACTTTTACGATGATTTCTTTACAAAATATCAGTATTTACAATACAGTTATAACAATTAAATAATGTTAATGTTATTATTTACCGAAAATATGAAATTCCATCCTTTTTTAGTGTCCTGGATATGTGATTTTTACAAATTTTTAAACGAGCACTGAGGCATGTTTACCGTCGGAGCATTCGAATGCTACTAGATTAAAAGTGCACCCATATGTTCGAGTGGGTGCACATTCGGTTATGCCATTTTTTGTCACTGATTGTGTATCTAGTTTTTTATTAGTGATCGATGGGTTAGTGATCGATGTACTAACTATAATATTGTAAATTTAAACTTTGCGCTTCACTGTTTCATATAAGCATGCAGTGTTCACTTTATTTAGACTGAGCGCTGTAAGTAAAAAAGGGTTGTTAAAGTATTGTATTAAATAAAAGTACTTTCACGGATTTTATCGCGTTTACTTATTTTGAATTTCCTACTTTTCGGTTGCTTTACAAACACTCATACTCAGTCCTGTGACTGTAGCTGCGGTAAAGCATCCGAAACGTCGAGAATTAAAAATACTCGTAAGTTAACTTAAACGTAATAAAATTCTTAAAACTAGTATTATTCAGGTAAAGTTAAGAAATCATTAAATCATTACATTTCAATTTGTGAATGTAATAAATAAATTAATAAATAAAAGCTATGAACATTACTCACTTTTTAAAAACGTGAGTGTTACAAACGTCGTATCATAACGTTTCTGTTTCTTTTTTATACAATCCGACAATAATACTCATTACCTGTAGTCAGCGTCTCAAGGGTGAAAATATAAAATATTGGATAATTAATAGAATTAGACGTTACTTTGTGGAAATCCATTATATTATACTTTTCAAACTATGTCTTATCTCGTGTCATTATTTTAATTTATTTTAAGTGGTAAACTCTGATAGGCTATAATGAAGATAAAATGTCTTGGAGGCGTAGGCCAAAGGGAGCATAGCCATGGGCGGCAGCAACATATGTTACGCCACTGAGACATCTTCTGAAACATCGACATCATCACCCCAACCGCAAGAATCATGTCAAATTTGTGAAAGGTTTAAGAGATCTTGTAAGTTGTATTGCATTACTTAAGCGCGAAGCGCGTAGGATGTTCTACTAGGGCCTAAAAATCAAGAACCCAACTTTTTGTCGCATGAAATCGTATCTAACAACCATATTGTACTCATTAATGTATTGTATTCATTACTAAATTAATGTATAAATGATATAAAAAGCACATTGTCAGAAAGTTAAATGATTGTTCAAACTTATTAAATTATTTTTAAATCGATTAATTGCTATTTTAACATAAAAATGGTTTTAGTGGCTTAAGGTGTGGATTTGTCAAGTCCGCATGGAGGGGCAAACACGATAACTTTTGAAAATATCAATTTTCAACACAATCTATTTTTTTAATCTCTTCATCTATCATGTGGGAAACCATGGAATGTAAACGGCAGTTTAATTTTGTTTTGTTTATTTATAATTTCTTTTTCGGCTGAGAAATCCCGAAATTTTCGGTATTTTAAGCAGCCTTGTCATAATTTATTTTCTAAATAGACTGCCTCACTCACTCACTTCGGGTTCAGCCGCCGTCATGAGTGGATACTGTATCAGTCGTTTTCAGCGGCTCGTGCTCAAAAAGATTGCTGTACAAATACAAAATATTCGAAAAACCAAATTTCATACATACGATTTGATTATTGTTATAATCACAGATTTTTATTGCAATATTTTAAAAGCACAGAATCAATAATAGTACTACGTACTAAAAGTAAGTAGAATTTATAATATATAAATATACTTAAATGTCTTGGACTTTATGGAATGACCTGAATGATGATATGATGATCATATGAGTATATCATAGATAATAAGTTAAAAGAGCTATGTGTGTTAGATTCTTTTTAATACTATGAAATAATTTATAAGAGTTCTGTTAACACCTTTTCACATTTTGGATTATTTTTATAACAAAAATTTTGGCAGATAACTCTCTTCACCACCGTCAAAATTGTAATATTTCAATACTACTAATGTATTTAACTCATTTTGAAAAAGTTGTGACTTGACTCTCTTCACTACTAAAGCGACGAAATACAAATATTATTGGGCCGTAGACAGTCAAAAGCTTTAGTAAGATCCCAAAAATACTTGCAGTCAATTAAAAGCTCACCCAGGACTATAAGAAGGAAGCAACCGGAGACCCTTTTTACTGGAAAAGATGCATTCCATCTCAGTTCTCACGGGTAACAACGCATCTGCATTTTGATTCGCAAACGAGGATAGATGTAGATGTCTATGGGCCACAGCAACCACTTACCATCAGGTGGACTGTGTGCTCGTTTGTCACCCTATCCTATAAAAAAAGCAACTAGATTTACTCTCGTATTCGTGGTGATCTTCTTTGAGAATCCAATGTATAGCTCATACTTCGTCACACATCTCTTGGGGAGTTGTAAGAGTCGCAGAGGATAATAAAATAGTAGATGGACAACATCATCTTCCTGATAACAACTCTCAATTTTGGTATCTCTAATAGAATACTTTCGTCTCCAATGAACACCTCATGTTAATAATGCATTGTCGAGTAAACTTAATTCCGCTGTGCAAGGTACAAGCAAGGTTGGTTTATTGTAGCTATTTCCAGTGTGATGTGTTGTGGATTATTGCTGTGGATACTGGCAAACTGATGTTGAGAATATATTTATACTACAGGAAAGATCCTTTCGTTCCTTGTTCCAGGCTAAGGGACTCATTTAGAGATCTTTTTAAACAAATTAATATCTACTGTTGCTATACACTTCGTACTGGATAATCTATTCAAATAAATAAAATTGAAGTGTCTGTTTGTAATGTCAAAATAATAGCTTTTTATTAATGCATATGTAAGTATATATGGTACTTATAACAAAAAAACAATTTTTATAATTTTTATCTGCTCATCTGTTTGTTCCAGTCACTCTCCGAAATGGCTGGACCGATTTTGACAGGACTTTCACTAGATAGTTGATGTTATAAGGAATAAGTTAGGCTGGTTTTATATTAGAAAAATTATTACGTTTCCGCACAAAAAAATTCAAACCCATGAAATATTATCGTAGCTGTTCCCCGCGAGTTCGCCCGCGTGGCATTTACACAGCAGAACAGCTTATTTATGTTAGAAACTATTTTAAAACCTTTTAAAAAGTGCAAATATATTTTATATTTTCACCCTTGAGACGCTGACTACAGTTAATGAGTATTATTATCGGATTGTATAAAAAGAAAGAGAAGCGTTATGATACGACGTTTGTAACTTACCTGTTACGAAACATAAAACAATTAATTGTTTAAAAATATGTTATGTAGGTAATCAATAACTAAAAAACAACTATCTTCTAATTCGTATTCAAATCATACGTTACTGGTATTAACTTTATCAACGTACCTACCTACGTTGATAAGTTACACAGATATTTTTGCTGGATGATCATTTGAAGAGTTTACTTAACCATTTCTTTGTATCAGGATTTTTTGAAAACGTGTTTTGAAAACAAGGTTTCGCAGATATATATGGGAAAAGGGAAAAGGGTCACGGCAGGACTGCATAAATTGCCGCGGTATAAGCCTTCTCAGCGTCGTCGTTAAATTGTATGCGAAAGTGTTGATTGAAAGGGTTGTGAATGAAACAGACGAAAAAGTATGGGATACACAAGCGGGATTTAGAAAGTTTAAATTTTTTTTTTTATTTCATAACATTACATTTATTAGTTACACATTACATTACGGTACAATCATAAGTTTATAGAAACTTTACCGTGTACCGATATCGCCGACAATATTGAATATGAGGGTAAAGTACAAAATTACACTTATTATTTGTTAAGTGCGTGATCTGCTAATACAGGATGCAATGCTCATGGATTGTATATACAGGACGTTTGTTTTAAAGCGTTATCGTAATATTTATTGGTAATACATATTATGTATTACTTAAATTATTTATGATGCAATCTATGAAGTAGTTTTTTAATTTTAATTTAATATTTTTTTGAGTCAGTTCGGATTTTAAAGATCCTGGTAGCTGGTTAATTAGGTTAGGGATCATATATTCTAAAGTACGTTTACCATATAAATTATTATATTTAGGTAAGGCTAATTTAGGTTTTCCCGAACTGCGAGTTTTGGAGTAATCACGGGTAACGGCAATTTTTAACTGTTCATGAAAAAATTCTTCTACAAGAAGGGTAAACTTTACTTTTTCGTGTATCGGTATAATTTTGCAATGGCTAAAAAGGTTATGGTAATCTGATTCTTTATATTGGTTTTTAATATTATCCGGAACTATAGTTTTTAGAATACGTGACTGCAGTAAATAAATATGTTCTAAATGTGATTTGTACGTTCTGCCATAACTAGACAAGCCGTATGCTACTTTTGACTCCACCAGTGATTTATATAGCTGTATAAGAATTTTATATGGAATTTTATATTTAATTACGGAAAATTTTGCAAGCATACCACGAAGTTTATCACACATGTGCTCAATATGTTCTTTCCAATTTAGTCGACTATCTATGACGAGTCCTAAAGGGAATGGAATGTACAGATCAGGTATTTTCCTTGCGGTGCATAGCCGAAAAGTGTTTGGCTAAGACAGGAAGGTCTTTTGCGTCTCGTGGATCTAGAAAAGGCCTATGATAGAGTGGTGAGGAATGAATTGTGGTCAGCACTGTCCGTCAATGGTGTGAGCAGTATCCTCATACGAGCATTGCAATCTCTTTATAGTGATTCTAGTGCTTGTGTAAGGATAAACGGGGCATACACTGAATGGTTTAATATCGAAAAAGGTGTTAGACAGGGATGTGTAGCGTCACCGTGGCTGTTTAACCTGTTCATGGACAATTGCTTGACAGATTTAAAAGATAATGAAAGTGGGTTGAGAATGAATGAGTTACTCGTCAAATGTTTTCTCTATGCTGATGACCAAGTACTGCTTGCGTCTTCGGCCGAGGAGTTGCAGGAGATAGTAACTGATATGAGTGGAGCTTTTGCTTGAAAGGGAATGAAGATGAATGTAAAGAAGACGAAAGTGATGGTGTTTGAAAGAGATGAGGCAGTGACAGACTGCAATATCGTGATTGGAGATGAACAAATTGAACAGATGAAGGAGTTTGTATATCTGGGTTCAAAGTTTACGAGAGATGGAAAGTGTAAGAGTGATATCGAAAAAAGAGTGAATGCAGGAAACATGGTGAATGGAGCTTTGCACTCCTTTATGAGCAGTCGGAAGGTGTCTAACAAGGCTCGTCTCGCTGTGCATGAGAAGGGTTTGGTTCCGATTCCGGTTAAGAAGTATGATAGGTTACACTGAGTAACAGGATAAGAAATAGTGAGATAAGGAAACGTTGTGGTCTGAAAGAAGATGTAGTGACAAAAATTGAGAAAAGTAACCACATGGTTTGGCCATGTAGAGAGAATGAATGAAGAAAGATTGACGAAAAAAGTGTACAAGGCGAGTGTGAATGAAAGTGTTGGAAGGGGTAGACTTAGGCGGACGTTTCTAGACTAAATCAGATACTTCTTGAAAAAAGGCCAGGTCAAGAGTACCCTAAACCGAACAGAATGTATGAAGGGAATAATGAAAGTGGACGAAGCGAAACAAAAATGTAAGGATCATAGCAAGTGGAAAGACGTGGTCTCTGCCTACCCCTACGGGAAAGAGGCGTGATTATATGTATGTTCAAGGTTAGAGTAGGGTTCAAGGTTTTTGTCGCTACTATAAACTATATAGATTTGGCTAAAAATTGTTTGTAAAAAATCTTATTTAGGTCTTGCAAGCGCCTTAAAAAAGTAAAATTATGTGTTTAAGTTTGATGTAGTTTTGTTTGTTTTGTTTTTGTTGTTTGCATTATTCGACGGCTCCGTGGCGCAGTGGCATAACAATGAGTTGCAGCGCTGAGGGCGGCGGGTTCGACTCCTGCACGGAACAAGTGTTTGTATGGCCTACAAATAATTGTTCTGGGTCTCGATGTTTGTCTTTGTGAAATTTATATATGCCAACTGCCTCCACGATATAGGGAAAATTCCTACTGTAGGGCTAACGTTTAAAAAAAAAACTCTTTTGTAAATTACATCGCAAAAAGTTGTGTTGAAATAAAACTGCGTTAGTGATGCTTCATATATTTATTTATCACGTTTCGCACTGGACATTGCAATATGCTCATACATTTATTTAACAAACGGGGGCTCGGCCCCCGCATCACCACGATCACTTATATACTATATCGAAAAAATGATAACTACTACATCGCAGTATATTTAGGTACCTATATATTAATGTACACAACAGCAATCGCGCGGGCCTCGCGACATAAATTTTGTAAAAAAATAAATAGTGTCCGACCGAAGCTTCGGCGAAACCTTCGGCCTCGGTCAAAACGGGCCGAAGTTTTGGGCAAAGCCAAAGATTTGTAGCAAGCGTCGAAATTGAACGAACTGTTACAACAAGCAAGAGCGCAATGAACTTGACGACGCATTTTTTATCATCTCTAGATCAAATCCTAGAGATGATTCAAATTACTTTTTTATATTACACAGTCAATATAATTAAATTAGGTTAAAATTAAGAAAATAAATAAAATTATTTATATTGCTAATTTAGCAATTCTTTAACTGAGTTTCTTAGGGTTTTGAAGCCTTCGGTTTCGGCTTTGGCCCAGAAATCGACCTTCGGTCGAACACAGAAAATAATCTCAACAAGTGAATACGCGAGTCAGGTAAGCTAAACGAGGTGTATACTCCGAGTCAACCCCACTGCATGCCGTCCTGCTGCAGCGGGGCACGCACGCAAGCGACAGGCACTGATCGGGGCCGTGCCCCACCACCTACCCTTATCATCACAGTCTTGTATACGCTCAGTAATGAGGGCTAGTAATCTTCCGCTCACCAGATGTCGCCACTAAAGACTGAGGTGAATTTTTTGTTACACAATGTCATTTAATTGAGAAATTACTCTTAAATAAAAGCTTATCAGTTTCTAGAGTATTATATTTATACTCAAAACAATACCTCGGTGGTTTGCTCTTTAATTTTTTGCATATTTTAAAGTTATTTTTTAATTTTTGCTACTTATAGAAATATACGTAGTTTGGGTTATTAATTTCTAATCCAATTAATATAAAGTATAACTAATATTACAGAAGGAACTTACATTTCCCTAACAAATTAACTTTCCCGCTATGACATGTATCAAATATTTCACCCCATTCCAAAGTGACGCCGCCCTCGTTGGGCAACCCCTCATTGGAGAGCGTGACGTAACTACGGGAATAATTTACTTTCGCATTATAAACTCTTATATCGCGCCTACGAGAGGTAACATTTGTTTGTAAATATATTTATCAATCGTGTAACCGCCGTAAATATATATCTATAACATTTCGTTTTACTACACGAAGCCAAGTGGAGCCGCGGCTCGTAACACCGGCATTATATATTCTATATAACATTTAACATTTATATTGACACAGATCGAAACGTTACGATTAGTTGCTTAACTTTAAATTGCATAACAAAATACAGAATCAGATTCCGAATGATTCCTCGCTGCGCTGTTCCCGAAAGTGCTAATAACAAACATAAACGCATATCTCGGAACGCTCGCATAGAACAGGCCCGCTGCTCGTTGACGATACGAACACATTAAGCCACTACTAACGCACTTAGAACAACCGGCATTTCCGCGGTATCCCTGTTGGGCCGGCACTAACACAATTACATATATAACACAGAGGACACGCACGCGACAAGACGCCGATAAGGAATTGTTAGTGACACGGGAAAACGGATACAGAAGCTGAAGCTGACGAACTTAGAAATAACGCGTAAATACATCAAAATTTCTATATCTATAAAAATAGCACAAAGTTCGAGTAAGATTTGTAGACGAAAAGTAGCGTTGGTCCGCCGTTTAAGTATAAAAATGTCCAGAGTCGCGAGAGAGGGTCTATAGAGGACTAATATGCTGGTTATGAATGAGAGAAAGGTCTAGGATGCGTCAATTCAGTTTTCCACAGCTAGCGATGAGGATGGTGCTCTGTGGCTTGCCGGAGCTGTCGCCCGTGCGACTCAGCCGATCCACTATTTCGAGACCTTCAACTACACACGCAAAGATGGCGGTAAAGCCGCGCATCTCTCGCAGCACGATGCGGAATTGAGATCCCACAAGGCCTAAGTTGTCGTGGCGTTTCTGCGAGCGTCGCATGCCCACCGAGCCGCGCACCGCCGCCATCTTGGTGTCGTCCGGCATGAAGTAGCTCTCCTCGAATGCGGAGCGCCCTCCGCGACCGTTGTTCAACTCGTAGTCGCCCGTTATGACACTCTCGTTCTCCCAACACTGGAACACGGAACAGCCACGGTACCCCACGCCGAGCTCCCCAGTGGCCAGCACTTTGAAGTTGCGCGCCATCCGCGGTGCCAAATCGCTCCGCACCTCAATTACAACACGCCCGAACGGCAAACCGTTCACCTCCAGGTTGAAGTAAAACAAAGGGAACGCGTGAGGTACGCGCGCCAGCGGAGTCGACGGCGACGATTTATGCCGCGAGAGATACTGCAGATACAGCTGGGCCGTGCAGTAGTTGGCCAGGAATAGCACGGGGTCCGGTGTGACTACCGGCGGTGGTGAATCGACGGCGCTCAGATCTGATAACGCTCGACGAAGAATCTCGAAGTCGAGCGGCACCGCCGCGCTGCGGACGAGATCGTCGAAACGGCACTGCAGCAGCGCGTCTGCTCGGCACGCTCGCAGTCGCTCCAGCTCTGCAGGAAGAGGTGAGGCGCGTTCGGTGAGATCAGCGGACGCGGTCAGTTCGGCCTCGAGGCGCAGCTTGAGTGCGGTGGCGGCGTCCAGTGCCCGGAGCAGGAAGTCGCGGCGGCGCGTGGCCAGGCGCCGCAGCTCAGCGCGCAGCGGCAGCGCCTGCGCGTGCGACCAGCACGACGCGCACGCTGCGTCGCCCGCCGTACGCGACTGGCACAGCGGGCAGCGCAGCGCGCCGCTCGCCGACAGCGCTCGAGCGCACGCCGAGCACAGTGTGTGCGAGCAGGCGAGCAGTCGAGCCGCTCGCTCGCTTGCGTCCACAGTGCACTGGCAGCGGGGACAGCGGACCGAATCGCTTGGCCGCTCGCTCGCCCGCTCGCCCGCACGCTCGGCCGCACGCCCCTCCGGCCGCGGGGACTCCACGGTGGCCACACTCACATGCTCGCACGCCTCGCGGCCGCGTCGACGACGCGACCGGGGTGGAATTTCACTTCTTCGACCGAACTAAAACACCGAAATCGATGTGGAACCCCACATCGTTTTACATTTTGTATACACCACACACGCCATGTTGTTTCGATTCTGCGCCGCGCTTCACATCGGTCGATCAACAGATTGGTTCCCGTCGACGTAACGTTGTTGAAACGTTATTCGCCCCCGATATATTTTGTACATCATCACTTTACATTTTCGTACTTATGACATAAAATTTCTTTTTAAACCGGTTAAAAAAAATAACAGGTTCCGTATTCGACTGTATTTTATAATAATAATATTAATATTTTATTTGCATAAAACATGGTTTATAAAAGATTTTACAGAACGTTACAGATCAGCATGTTTTGCTACGGTTATAATAGCATGCAATTTTTTTATACATTAATACTTATGACTACAAAAATCCTGTATATGTTGATAGAAGATATGAAGTTTTTTTTATAGAATAAGGGTGACCTACGAACATATAGTCCACCTGATAGTAAGTAGTTGCTGTGGCCCTTCGCCATCTACATATATTTTTCGAATTAAAATGCAGATGCGTTGTCAACCGTGAAGACTAGGATAGAATTTCTCTTTTCCAGTAAAAAAGGTCTCTAGTTCTCTACACTCCCATACGAAACACAACAGCATTAAGGTGCTATTTTGCGTTGGTATTCCGTGAGATCGTGGCCTTTCCCCGGTCGAGCCGACCCTTTCGTGCTACTGCTACAACGATACTATTAATATAGCTGCAGCATGGTTCTACCACGTATAAAAGTTACTTTCCTTCTACCACTTAAATAATCTAATATTTAATATTTTTAAGTTATTAGGTATATTATTACATAAGCGTACACACATACATAAACTACTTTCGGTATATTTTCTTATTCTGTGGTTGTCGTTCAGTACAAGCCTATATGACTCTCGGCGACCACGGGGATTTATATCATCTACCGTTGTAATGCATTTTTTTTTGCGTGACGAAAGCTTTATTTTGAAAAGTGCTCATGATTTTACGTATGCATGACAGGACATGACAGCGGTTTTTATGTTTGTTATGTTTTTGATTTGTTTAAGAGCATACACGAATTTATTTATAATTTATTTAGAAGCATCGTTTACATGTGTTTTCCATTTTATACCATCATCTATAATTAAAACTAAAAATTTCGTATTTCTAGCTGCTTTTATTTTTGGTATTTTAAGTTTAAGATTATGTTTATTATTAGTGTATTTGTTAAATTGTATATATAAAAATTTGTCTAAATTTATTTTCAAATAATGTAATATGTCAACCCAATTAATTAAATTATCTATTGTATAATCTATGTCAGCTTCATGGTCACTGATATTAGTAATTTTTTTGTTGGAAGTCATAATTGATTGTTGATTTTATCATTATGTTCAATTTTAATGAAGAAAGAAATTCCTTATGAATTGTCATTAGAATTTTCAAAAGACGACGACACGACAAGGATACGTCGCTCATCGCTTTCGTTCGCGCGTACTTCGTTACGTCGCGCGTCGGTGAGGTTGCTCAGTGAGGGCGGGTCGGGTCGCCGCGTATCGATCCGCGCACCGCTCGCTAATTGCCTTTACGTAATGGCACAGCTACAGGTGCCCTGTGGCTCTCGCGAGTCTACTAGCGGTGCGACCCGATGGCTTATTATATATTACATTATTCTGCTTTGCCTGTCACAATAATTACGTGAAACGATTTATTTTTAATTTCTTTACTACCATTAATAAATGCGTAGAATGTTAAATTGAGAAATATTTTCAAGAGTCGTTTCCATGTAACAACTTATCTAAGAACTCAGAACTCAGTTACATTGGTTTGATTTTGCCGTGAATTAACCCAAAAGCTAGGAGAAATAAATATTTTTTACATTGATTAACAAAAAAAGTTGTTAAAATTGGTTGCTATCGGCGGTAAAAATAATATAGTTTGCATCCTCAAACTAAATAAAACACATTATTTTTATTTTTCACGTGGATCTTAGCTAATTACTTTTAACATTTTTAATATTTTATATTACTTTTACATTTCAACTTTTACACCTATTTATGATTATTAAACAAACACAAACTGAGACAACAAGTGCCGTAGACCTAAAAATAGTAATTCTATGAGTGAACGCATTTAGAATAGTGAAAAATGACACTGAATTGCTTTCTAAATAATTTTCTTTCCTTTTTAAAACGTAATCTCCACACTAGGATTTTATCTTGTATTGTGGGGGCAGTGTACAAACATAAATTGCACAAGAACAATCATCCACACCCGGAACAATTATTTGTAGGCCATACAAATATTGTTTCGTACGGGATTCGACCCCGCGGTCCTAGACGCTGCAACTTAAGGGGCTACTCCATGCGAACGACCTTGAGCATTTGACCGCTTGCTACAATATTAATATATTGTAGCGAGCGGCTCGCCGGAAGAAATATGTAAGACGCCACCTATTGTACGAAAGTAGTATTATTTTTTCAACATCAATAAACTATTTTATGGAAATACACATAGCGTACAAAGATAAATGTATTTTAATTTTTTTATTCTGTATATATTAGTTGCATTATATTAGAATTATGTATTTTCATATATTATCTAATTATGAAATTTTATAATTAATTATATATTAAAACTGAAGCATTGAAAATTGTGAGTTTAAAAGATACCTATTCACTATAGGTAAATAAATAGATAGCTCGGCTTTTGTACAAATATTTGGTGCAATAAAAAATAAATAAATAAATAGGATGTTTCGCATATGTGTTTTTGATTATTGTTAATTTTTACGTGTCACGTATTGAAAAGTTACCTACTAATTTTTGAACTTATGCTGGCAGATATTATCCTCACCCCAATGATTGATGAGGATGAAAATCAATTTTATTTCTACATACGTAATTATATTTATTTATACATAAGGGTAACTTTAATAAAGGTAATACAAAAATCAACAAGAAGTATAAGGGTTCAATCTTTCAATTTCAGTTGTAAAAAAACGTTACCCCCACACTAGGATTTTCTCCTGTGTCGTGGAGGCAGTTTACAAACATAAATTGCACAAAGACAAACATACAGACCCGGAACAATTATTTGTAGGCCATACAAATACTTGTTCCATGCGGGATTCGAACCCGCGGCCCCCAGCGCAACAACTGATTGCTAAGCCACTGCGCCACCATGAAGCTAATACAAAGACTAACTTTGTATTTGCTTCATGGTCGCCGGGTTATAGCTAAAGTGACCATACGTCCCGTTTTGAACGGGACTGTCCCTTTTCTCGGTCTCCTGTCCCATTGTCCCCAAACAAAGCTCCGGGACACAAAATTGTCATGTAACTAGTTGGATGGAAGTATTCAAAGTCAACAATCTTCAACATAATTTTTTTTAATCGAATATATTTTATGTCTACCTGGTACGAATGCTCCGGTAGAAAGAGTATTTTTTTATTTTGCATAAATTGTGGACGTCTGAAAGAAACACTTACGGTTCCAGAGTTCTAAAGGCGATGTTGTTAACAAAGATAACAATAAAAAACTTGAGCAGAATTTTATTCTTATTTAAAATCATCACCAACTTTATTAAAGCAAATTTAATCCACTGACAAATGTAATTAATAATTAAAAAAAATATGTTGCATTTAATAATTACCGTCTATACCGAATATAATTTTATAGTGAACACTAATTGTATAAAGTTATAGTTTTTAGAGTATAAATAAACCCATGTCCTGTTTTGAGTTAAAAAATAAATGGTCAGTTTAGTCTTTTTAGTTAAATTTAGTTTTAAAAATTTTTAGTAGTAAAAAGTAGGTATATTAGTACCTACTTAGATACTTTTTACCGAATTATAAGTATAGAACACCTTATGTACTCAATTATTTTTTGAAAAAGAAGAAAAAACAAGCAATAAATAATATACTATATTTTAGCAAAAAACTATAACTTAGTAATACTAATTATAACTTAGAACAAAAATGAAAAACTCATAACTGACCTTTTTCCCGACCCAGGATTCGAACCCGGGACCTCATGATCAGAAGTCGCACTACTACAACCACTAGACCAACGAGGCAGTACTATACCTGATAAGATATTGTGGTTGGGTGATAATATTGAATTAGCCTTTTATAGTGTAAATTATAATATTTGTCGAAATTTTAATTATAGATTCGAACCTTACATGCTAATGGTGCTTCATTTTTTTATTTGCATTTACTTCAAAGAAAATACACGCAAAAAGCTTCATCGCGCAGTAAAAAACACAACAAATATATGTATAACTAATACGAAAAATTATACCCAAAACAAACAAATAATACTACCTATAAATAACCTAATAAGTAATAATATTATCGACTGATATTACGTGAGTGTATGCGGCGCTGGTCGACGCTCTAACGACACGGGCTTCGCGTCGAAGAGCTCAGGGCTCACTGACTAAGCAAGCCCGTGAGCAGTGAATATGCCCAGATTTTAAAATAATTTCTTAATAAAATCAAATTTTGGTCTTTTGAAAAAAAATTTACTATAGAAATGTTTATTAATAAATTGCCTATCCATTGGTGTAAATCGCAAAATAAAATAATACTTACTTTACGAGGAGATCCATGTTATCAATAACAATTTCACATTTATGTGGTTTATTGTAAGGAGATTATATTAATATTTATTCGATTAAAAAAAAATTGGATATAGCTTTTATGGAATCAAGATTATGTAGAAATATAATGTGTTTTTTATTTGTTGATATATCTTATAAATAAAAAGTAGATAGCTTCTAAAAACCGCCCAAATAACGACTGGCGCGACTTTTTGCTCAACCTGCGCCTTAATTGCTAAGCTACTGCGCCACGGAGCGTTAACATTGTTAACGTTCACATATTATTCAATGAGAGCATTAACATCACACTCACACACTTGCACACAATATACACACAACTTAACAAAATCCCAGAAAATATATTATACAAAACCTGCTCAAAGTTCAAAAACTTTGATAAACTAAGTTTCTATAAAAAGGGTATTTATTATACGTGGTAGAGCCATGCTGCAGCTATATTGGTAGTAGTCGGCCGGGGTAGGATTACGTTCTCACAGAATACCAGCGTAAAATAGCAGCTTAACACTGCTGTGTTTCGTATGGTGAGTGTAAAGAACCTGAGTTCTTTCTTTACTGGAGAGGCATTACATCTTAGTCCTCACGGGTGACAACACATCTGCATTTTGATTTGTAAACGGGGTTAGATGTAGATGTCTGTGGGTTACAGTAACCACATACCATCAGGTGGACTGTGTGCTCGCTTGTCACCCTATCCTATAAAAAAAGGTTATAATATTAAGGAATTTATGTATGATAATAACCCCTGGGAATGAGGTGATCACTAACAAGCTATTTCTAATTTGTTTTGTGTTGTTAATTGTGTTACATACATGATTGTAAGAAGTGGCGTAGCTAGGCGTGGGCGAAGTGGGCCCTCGCCCACGACCTCGAAATTAAAGGGACCTCGCGAGGCCCCCTAAAATGCGATGCTCCGGACTTAACCACAGATGACTAATTAATTTGCTCACTTTTACGCTCGAAAAAGAAAGTCACAAATGTAAGTGTGTTTGTTTGGGACCTCGCAAGAAGCCTCTCTTAAGTGCGACTGCGAGGCCGTTGTATACGAGACTTATCAGGAATTAATAGATTATTAGTAGGTATATCGTGTCAAAGCATGTTTGGTAGGATATATCTATTGGGTAGATCCTTGGAACGAAAGAAAAGTGGCCTCGCTGATGCAACTTGGCCCACCTTTATATTAATACACGCTACGGATCTGATTGTAAGCTGTTATTTAAAAAAAATCCCGCTGGGTTTCTTGCTGGTTCTTCCAAGGACAGAGGTTTTTTTTCGAACCAGTGGTAATTAAAGAAAAGAGTGACTTTCAATATTTATTATTTATAATCTATATTGAATAAAAAGTTTGTTTCTGTATAATTATGAATAATACACGAGTCACGAACATGACGCTAAGGACGCACGATAATATACGAGCACAGAGTTTTGGCGCCGCTGAAGGTTTGGCAGATTTTTCGAAACTCGCCGAAACGGAAACCGAAACCGAACCTTCGGTCGGTCACTAATTATTACATATACCTATGTGATATGATAGAGAGCGATGTATTGTACCACGCGTGTGCACGTGCAGGAGCGCGACGCGTACGGCAACGACGTGAGCGTGGCAGCGCGGCGCGTGCCCGTGGCCTACCTGCTGGTGGACGTGCCGGTGGGCGTGGCGCGCCAGCCCGGCGCCGCCCCCGCGCCCGCCGCCGCCGCGCCGCCGCCGCACTCCATGCGCGCGCTGCACCACCACATACTGTCTGCGCCCTCCTTCCTAGAGGTATGCTACTACAAACACCTACCTGCTGGTGGACGTGCCGGTGGGCGTGGCGCGCCAGCCCGGCGCCGCCCCCGCGCCCGCCGCCGCCGCGCCGCCGCCGCACTCCATGCGCGCGCTGCACCACCACATACTGTCTGCGCCCTCCTTCCTAGAGGTATGCTACTACAAACACCTACCTGCTGGTGGACGTGCCGGTGGGCGTGGCGCGCCAGCCCGGCGCCGCCCCCGCGCCCGCCGCCGCCGCGCCGCCGCCGCACTCCATGCGCGCGCTGCACCACCACATACTGTCTGCGCCCTCCTTCCTAGAGGTATGCTACTACAAACACCTACCTGCTGGTGGACGTGCCGGTGGGCGTGGCGCGCCAGCCCGGCGCCGCCCCCGCGCCCGCCGCCGCCGCGCCGCCGCCGCACTCCATGCGCGCGCTGCACCACCACATACAGTCTGCGCCCTCCTTCCTAGAGGTATGCTACTACAAACACCTACCTGCTGGTGGACGTGCCGGTGGGCGTGGCGCGCCAGCCCGGCGCCGCCCCCGCGCCCGCCGCCGCCGCGCCGCCGCCGCACTCCATGCGCGCGCTGCACCACCACATACAGTCTGCGCCCTCCTTCCTAGAGGTATGCTACTACAAACACCTACCTGCTGGTGGACGTGCCGGTGGGCGTGGCGCGCCAGCCCGGCGCCGCCCCCGCGCCCGCCGCCGCCGCGCCGCCGCCGCACTCCATGCGCGCGCTGCACCACCACATACAGTCTGCGCCCTCCTTCCTAGAGGTATGCTACTACAAACACGCACCACATACAGTCTGCGCCCTCCTTCCTAGAGGTATGCTACTACAAACACGCACCACATACAGTCTGCGCCCTCCTTCCTAGAGGTATGCTACTACAAACACGCACCACATACAGTCTATGCCCTCCTTCCTAGAGGTATGCTACTACAAACACGCACCACATACAGTCTGCGCCCTCCTTCCTAGAGGTATGCTACTACAAACACGCACCACATACAGTCTGCGCCCTCCTTCCTAGAGGTATGCTACTACAAACACGCACCACATACAGTCTGCGCCCTCCTTCCTAGAGGTATGCTACTACAAACACGCACCACATACAGTCTGCGCCCTCCTTCCTAGAGGTATGCTACTACAAACACGCACCACATACAGTCTGCGCCCTCCTTCCTAGAGGTATGCTACTACAAACACGCACCACATACAGTCTGCGCCCTCCTTCCTAGAGGTATGCTACTACAAACACGCACCACATACAGTCTGCGCCCTCCTTCCTAGAGGTATGCTACTACAAACACGCACCACATACAGTCTGCGCCCTCCTTCCTAGAGGTATGCTACTACAAACACGCACCACATTCAGTCTGCGCCCTCCTTCCCAGAGGTATGCTACTACAAACACCCACCACATACAGTCTGCGCCCTCCTTCCTAGAAGTATGCTACTACAGTCACGGTCGGGTTTTGATCGGGTTTGGTGCAAAGCGCTTCTTACGAAGTTTTTATGCAGATCGAAGCATCAAGGTCGTAGTAGATGGTCCATGCTCTGACTACAAGTTTATTAATGTTTGTGTTTCACCTACGCTGTTTCTTCTGTATATCAATGATATGTTACAAACCAGTAACATTGATTGCTATGTGGACGTCAGCACTGGTGGTGCTTTGTTCTCTGTGCCCTGATGTCTTGGAGTCCAGACTAATGGTATATCAATTGAAGTTTTGCAGTGTTTATTAAGGTGATAATAGTCAGCACATGGTTGCAGGCGATGTCGGACCTGCACGTGCTGCTGTACCTGTGCAGTAACGAAGCGCTACCGCTGTCGCTAGACACCGTGCAGCCGCTGCTGCAGGCCGTGCGCGAGCGCGATGCAGCCGCTGCGGAAAGCTGGCGCGCGCAAACCCAGCCCGCCACGCTGCTGCAGCTGGCGCGCGCCGCGGCCGAGGCGGACGCGCCGCACGGGTGAGTGCACACACACGCATACACGCACACACACACACTCGCAGCCTGCCACGCTGCTGCAGCTAGTGCGAGCCGAGCCCGAGGCGGACGCGCCGCACGGGTGAGTGCACACACACGCATACACACACACACACACACTCGCAGCCTGCCACGCTGCTGCAGCTAGTGCGAGCCGAGCCCGAGGCGGACGCGCCGCACGGGTGAGTGCACACACACGCATACACGCACACACACACACTCGCAGCCTGCCACGCTGCTGCAGCTAGTGCGAGCCGAGCCCGAGGCGGACGCGCCGCACGGGTGAGTGCACACACACGCATACACGCACACACACACACTCGCAGCCTGCCACGCTGCTGCAGCTAGTGCGAGCCGAGCCCGAGGCGGACGCGCCGCACGGGTGAGT